TATTTATTTACAGAATTTATGAGAGGACGCCACGTCATATGATGTATTGGTATGGGATTTTGAATGGTAAGTTACGTTAATTAATTAAACAATGAACAAACAAAAAAAAAGGTTATGTTATCTTGCTTAATAAATTATTTAATTGTATGTGTAAATAAGCTATTTCAATTAATTTGATAAAATTTGACAAACAGATAAATGATTTTATTGAATGAGCAATAAATAATTCAACTAATTTATCAATCAAATAAACTAAACTAATCACTTAATCAATTAATCAGTTAATAAAGATAATTTAATAAGTTAGAAAATTATTTAGCATATTTTTTTCATTGTAGTAATAACAATAATTGCATCAATAATAAGTGCACTGATGGCAATCAAAGCAATGGCAACAATTCGATTTGTTCCACCTTGCTTCATACAACCATTTCTGGAATCAACAGATCATTTAAATACTACTACCAGTTTACTAAATTGCTGTGGACAATACTCGAATATCACATGGAATCCGGAAAATCAGTGTGTGAATCAATGATTGAATCGCATAAATCCGGAAAATCACTGTGTAAATCAATGATTGAGTTGTATTGAATTTCCTTTTTCCGAGCATTGATTTATACAAATTGAAATATTCAAAAAAAAAAAAAAAAAAAAGGAAAATGAGAAGAAATAGTTTTTTTCTTAATTTATAAATATTTTAAAGTATAAAAGTATAAAATGCTATTATTATAAAACATTTCGAAATATACAGTATAAAGCATTGCAATAAAACTATGAAAAAATGCATTGTTATTAAAATTCATTTTTCCCTTTTTCATTAGATAATTATCAAATGTTCGTCTAAGTATAATAAATATTCATGCATTCATCAATGATTGAATCACATGGAATCCGGAAAATCAGTGTATGACAATGATTGAATCGCATGGAATCCGGAAAATCAGTGTATAACTACGAAAAAAATTTTTATTAGTGTAATTTGAACTGAAATAAGTCTGTTGTCAATTTTTTCTAATATCATTTTCCCTTCTTATGAATTGCACTAGTCGAATTATTCTGCTAATATGTAATAAATTAATATTTTATTAAGAAGTCAGAAATTACGCCTTACATATTTGCTTTTCACCTTATAATCTGAATGAAATAAATTAGTAATTGCAAAGAAAATTAGCCATCATAAAATTGCTTTATCGTTTTCAAAATTTAGATAACATATGTGACAAAAGCATGTGACACTTTATCAAGAGATATGTAGGAAGTTCGATACAAATTCTATGTTTAAAATTGTCACTTTGATATTTATCCGATGATTAAGAAGTTTAAGATTAGAAACATATCATATGCCATTTCTGTCTTTTATTATCTCTTTGAGATATATCGAGATCGAAATCAAAACAACTCTTTCAGTACTTTTTCATCTTTCAGCACAGTCGTAAATCTCAGTTACATATTACTCACATTTTTTGCTAATTGACAGTCTGCTAATTTGAACAAAAAGAAAGTATTAGCTAACTTACTGAACATCATGACAGATCACATAAACTGATTAACTTATTCACTGCAAAAATCAGAAACAATTTTGCGATGAAGAAGAGAAAGAAGGATAGATGGAAAGTTAATACTATAAAAAGTAATATTTTACAGTAAAGTAATACCCACTGCAGGTATAAAAGTAATACCTTATAGTATTAAAGAGTGATAAATTAGCCAATAAGTGAAAAATTAGCCAATAAAATTAGCCAATACATTAGTACAAATAGTACGTTCAAACACGTAAGGGCAAAAAACTTTGAAATTTATCTTTTTTCAAAATTCAATTTAATTTGTTTTACATAGTGCTTCCTGTAAGACTTTTTCGTTTCTAGATTACAGGAAAAGGTAAATAACAATATAAACGAAAATGAAATAAGATATATATACACGTACGTACGTAATTGAATAACGGTGTAAAGCAATTAGAAATTCAATAAAAGCGAAAGAAGTAATCGTTTGAATAAATTCATTTCATGACTATTTGACTGGAAGCGGTGGTTAATGCTTCTTGCTATTGCTTATCTCTTCGTTCTTATTATTATTGCTTATTTTTATGTTAAAACGGTTAGTTAAATGATTTTATATTATTATTCTCTGTAAATTGTATGAAAAATAAAATTTGAACAAAATTTACTGAAGCAAAAGGTACAACAATTTTATAATAAAATTATTAATTTATTATAAAGTTTGGAAGAAATTTTATAAATGCTAAAATGTTATGCATGTAAAATATTTGTATTTTATAGCATCCGATGAAAGATGAATGTGCGCAAAGTGTACCAATCATTTTGCCTAACGATGTGAATCTTAATGAAAGGCGACACCGCCACTAATACAAACTTTTTAAATTCAGTTCATCGCACTCATTTTGATGTGCATAAATAAGAATGAAAAAATTGAAATGCTTGGTAGCTAATTGTGATATGTAGAACAAGGCGCATTTAAATCTCATAATTAATGATAAGCTAAAATAAGTTACTTATTAAGCCAGCAATAAAACGTTTCAAATTTGTCTTTTTGTTTATTTTCATTCAGCTAAAATAATTTCAATAGTCTGTTATATGAAAAGTATTATTTCCTTTAAAGATTTCAACTTTAATCCTATGAATTAAACAAATATTTCAAATACGAGATGTCAGCTATACTTAACACATAATTTGTTTTTAAGCATTTATCGCAAACTTCAAATTATCATGTAAAAACAGAAATGAATAATAGAAGTTACCATAATATATTGTCCATTTAAATGCTAAACAAAAAATTATTTCAGCAAATTTTAATGGCATAATTCATAAAGTTAGTCAAATAGAATGTCACTTTATTTCAGTATTATTCAAATTAAGGAAACATTCAATTCAACAGTGATGAAAATATAAGTGCATAACGATCAATAATGTAAAATAACTTTTCCTTTTCACTAAAAAAAAAAAAAACGTCAATTAATTTTAAGTCAATCGTTACACGTATCGGGAATATGACGTAAATCGTACGCGTGTAACTCGATGAATTAATTCAACATAAAAAGTTCGAATTATAGATTTAGTCTAATTCTACTCATAACGAAACGAAATGATGAAAATTCTTATGGTTAATATACTAAATAATCCAACTTGTTACAACACATATTTTAATTTATAATTGAAATTAATCAAATGTTAAGTATTTCAGTGATTCGATATTAGTATCATCGAGTAAAGCAGAAATAATAATGTATGAAGGACATCTGAAGATTTTATCATGCAATCTCTTCCAAGATATTATCAATATATTCTCTAACAACCATATGTATTTCATGAGAAAAATCCATCGTTTCAGTCGTCTCATTTTTTCTAAAATACCATTTAAAACCTAAAAAGTCTTCATTTTGATTCAAAGATCTGATTAGAAATTGATTTAAAAAAAAATGAAAAAATTGATTTTTTGCTAAACAACAAATACTGTTATAATATCAATAAGATTATCAGTACGATAAATCGTCTTGTCATAATTACAGCAGAAATTTAATAGCTCTTTTCTTTTTTTCAAAAATGACAGCATAACAAGTACATATTGTCAATGAATCAAGCTTATTTCTTATTTGCTTTTTTTATTTTATTTTTTCTTTTATTTCACTCATCTGCTTAAATTAAACTTTGAACACGTACGTGAACGTCAAGTGACTTCGTCCATAAATCTCCATTTATGTTAGATCGTTTCGTCTTAATGGGGTATATATTTATATATAGTTTTATTTTATCATTTAAAATTTAAAAATTTTCCAAAATGAAAAGTTATAGATGTAGTGTGTGTGTGCAGTATGCGTTGCGTGCGTACATGTGTGCAAGCTTGCACACATGCAAACAAACTTACTTCATTATTTCTGTCAGTTAAACAAATGTTTGCACAAGCTTTGAATTAATGATAAGAAACTCTTTAAACAAGAAACTACCGCAAACTTACTTTAGCATTAAGCAAATTAAGACACACTATTCAAACTGTAGCACTGCAGAAATTACACAGACTTTGAAATCAGTTGAAATTTGCCATCAAAATTTTTCATTCTTTGTTCACTTTAATTCTGTCAATCAGTTCAATTATCACTGTATATTTCACACATCATTTATCATTTCAGAACTTCATATTAAGACTTTTATATTCGCCATATCTATTGGACAAATCTAATCTATGAAAAAATTTTGCTTCTGAATTGAAATTTTTTTGTCCATCATAAACAACTAAAGTTGTAAGAAATAAAAAAAATTAGATGTTGAACAAGGTATGAGATCATAGATTGAATTTTTTTAATTTTTGAGAAAATAGCATGTCGGGATGAATTCTAATGGACGATGAAATTAGATGGTATGTGACTTAAACTGAACATGGAGCTGGAGAGAGGTAATAGGGAACAAAAAAACGATTTAACCGTAATAATTATGGCAGTGGAATTTAGAGTAGAAAGTCGTAGAGATTTAATTTTACCTTTTCAAAAAAAAAAAAAAAGGAAACATAAGTTGAAAATCTTCAATTAGACTCTCAAAGAACATTTTAGAAAGCCGCGTCCTCGTCCTGATCATAACTAAGTCAGGCATACTTATAACAAGCCATTTATTTTAGTTTTATTTATTCCATACGTTTACCTTGTTGAGATTTAAAAATACTGTTTCGTTTTATACTTAACTAATATAGTAACGACCCTGCTTTTTTAATTATAGAACCAACCAAAGCATGCAAAAAGTGACTGGAAATTGAAGTTTATTTTCGCTTCTAAATAACGTGGATCTGTCCACTCCTTTTTAAATCACTATTTTCAGATAAATGTTCTAGTGTAAGCCTTTACAAATAACCGAATTTATTAAAATATTTGAAATCAAAATACTGCCTAACTACGGCTAAAATAGCATCAGTGTTTCATTAAATTCAGCTTTTCTAGTTGACTTCTTGAATAAGAAATCCATTAAATATATACAAATATACAAGCTCACCAATTACAATAACAAGTCATCTAAGAAATCATCAAGTTCTTGTTCAGCAATTTTTTCTGGATCAGTGTCTTCCGGTGATTTCCTCCAGATTTCCATTAAATTATCCTTTTCCAGTTTTTCGTCAATATTCTGTTCTACTTCTTCAGACGTTTCTTCAGAAACTGCTGGCTGCTGGACGTCTGAAGTGTTTGTTTGCTCCGCAGTTTCTTCGCTTTTCTGACTGCTAGCATGTGACCTGAATAATAGTCATTCGTGAAATCAGTGTCAAGCAAGTGACCAAACAATAAATCAACAAATGAAATGCAAGTTAAATATAAACTCGAATATTTAGAATTTTAAGAAATTGCAGATATCACAGAATTATATTTTGATGAATGTTCAATATTAAGAATTCTGAAAAACTTGCAATCTCTTTCTGTGTCTATGTTTGTCTTTCTTTTCTGGCTTCTTTTTCTGAGAATGATAATTGAGCATTTTTGAACATTCAGGACACAACCGCAACTTGACAAGAGCATTTTTCTTAACGCTATTCTCCAAGTACGCAAAGTTAACCGGAAATAAAGCGGTTCATTCAAAACTTCACTTTATTTTATTTTCTAAACAGCCTCATATTTTAATACAGTTCAAAATAGTGAATTTATTTTCTAAACATTTTTTTTTAAATACATTTTCATTTGTTTCATTTGAAGTTATGTGAATTTAACTATATTAAAATTTAATCAGCACCATTATGTTTCACAAACTACTCCCAACTAGTAAGATCGTCTTTTTCTTTGCACTGCCAAAACATAATAAAAAGATATTAGCTGAAATATAAATTTGGTTCACATTATGAAAAGTTTCACAAAACATACTTCCCAACTAGTAAGGTCGTCTTTTTCTTTGCACCTTTTATTGCCACATTCAAATTGACCCTTCCCTGATCTGACTTCTCTTTCAGTTCGCCATCTCATAGCTATTCTGAAATTCAATAGTCAAAAATCAGAAGTAGCAAGGAATACAATTTAGTAACAAAGAAGTAGTAAACAACATAAATTATTTAAAAGTTGAAATCCAGTCCTAATTTTTTTTCGCAGAGGATAGATTCGTTATAGGAATATGGATGTTAAAATTCATTTCAAAATTCCAGTGCCTGAAATATGTCTTAACATGGTTACCTATTCTTTTTGTATTGCGAAAGATCAGCAATACAGTATTCTTTGAAAAGTTTGTCATAATACCGTTTGGCTAAACGGGCTTCCCACGACTTCTCCGCTGCTTTCATTAACTAAAAAAGAACTGGATATACCCAAACATAAAATAATGATAAAGAGTATAATCGCTCACCATACCCTTATTATGGTTTAACCAATAATTGTTTCCTAGAACTACATCTGTACTGCAAAAAAAGTAAATATATTTTATGCGAAACCTCATCATCATCCCAGAGAAATCTGTGATTGTCTTTAAGGACATCATAATCGGTGCGATCTCTGGATGTATCTCGCTGTAATTTTGCTGTTGCACCTGGATAACAGAGGTAATACTGATTTATAAGTTCTTTATGTCGCGTGTACACGTCTAGAGTCATTAGACGTTGTTTTCGTCTGAAAACTAGTGAGAAATTACACGTTTCTCAAAACAGCATCAATATTAGAGTGACAGAATGCACAATTATACCTTTATATGTTTAAAAATTAAACAAAGAAAGTGGAATTATTTGTTATTCAATCTTCTTTGCTCTCTTTTTTTCTACCTCGTTCTTGATAAAAACTCCTGAAAAGCAAATAGTACCTCTCAAAACAGGACTGTTCTTGATCAAATATGCCTTTTGCTTTCTTTCGATCTGGCAATGCAACTTCTCCAAATCGTGGTTTCTTCCATAATTGATCATCCTGTATTCGATAACTTTTTCTTCTATCAACACTGCTTCCAGCATCATTTGCATAGTCAAATTCTGATTCCAAATCTTCATAATCGATTGATGGATTCTGTTTATTCATCTTGAATTTTATTATGTGATAATTACAACACTATGCATATAGAAAGACGTATCATTTACACTCGCTAAACACTAATTCATATATTTCTACAGCAAACAAAATTACAAAACATGACAACGCTAAGTCTTTGAATGTTTGAAAGAAGTTTGCTGAAAATACTATCAATAGTATTTCAACAACCAAAAAATTTAACTGAGCATCCTGCATAACAACTAAGCAAACAGGAATGTACATGGCACAAACTATCAAAACTTGTGATCAATATTAATCATTGTAGGCGTAAAGTAATATGCAGTACTACAACTTAGGATAAGCATAATAAAATGATGCATAAAAAACTTACCCAGTAAAGCAGCAAAACAGCATTACCAACACATATTCAATGCTGTTAGTAAAAACTAATTAAAGTCATTTATAAGTTCATCCCTTAAGCTTACTTTAACAACTTTAATACTAAGTAGTTTATGTTAAAATGTTTGGTACTGAAATTTACAGACAAAAAACTGAGATCACACCGAAAATGACTTATTATTACAATTATTAGTCCATAAGTATAAAGTTCCAAATGAAATCCATAAGTATAAAGTTCCAAACAAATTTTCAACAAACAACACCTGTAATTCCTTTAAACGGTAACAAGTATTTAATAGCTCATTAAGAAAGTTTTCTTTTTTTTTTTTGCTATATGTTAACAACTTTATTTGTATTGATTCGAAAAAAGAACTATAATCAAAAGTCTAGGATTCTGTAAGAAGGTGTAGTTTGTAGAAATATAGCAAACAGCTAACCAAACGCTCTAAACCAAGAGCAATAAGCTTTTTTTCATACAGAATCAATGTTTGCCACTGTTTGCGCCATCAGAAGAACATGAAGAACAAAGAGAATCTCCATTAAATATGCAATTGTCAATTTAACTATTACAAGTGTTAATTCTATGAGGTAAAGTTGAGATTACAGTAACAAATAAAATCAAACAAGATGCTATCTCGATGACTGTGATTTGTATCCTTTAATAAACGGTATTCCAAGCGGTACGTTTCTTCGATACTGAATATATTCTGTACCAAAGAAGGAAGTCAGATAACGTTCTTCCCAATATATTCTTTCGTTGAAGAAATTCCACCCAACTAGCAAATAAAGGATCAAACATACAGGATTGCACAGCATTACCTGAGTGCCCAAACACCAAACTAACCAGCCGAGATATCCTGGATGTCGTACGAAACCATACACACCACTAGTGATCAATTTATGCTTTGGACACTTCTTGATTGCAATCATATGTGTGAATCCACCGTTTGCATGAATCATTGCAAGTTTCCGTAAAATTTCACCAAATATAATTAATATTAATCCGACATAACTAACGGCAACATTTTTTAAATGTGGTAAGAAATGTACTTCCACTGCATATTCCACCCAGCTTATCAAAGCAGCTGCCCAATATGCGAGAGAATGATCAAGAAGATAGGATGAAAAATTCAAATCTGGTCGGTTTGTTAACGCTGTCACCAGAAATTCGCCGTAGTGAAATACTGCCATACATGCGAAATACCAAGCGAATATTGATAAATACAAATTATTTGTTGAATAGGCACACAGTAGAGATAATGTAAAAATGCCCCCAAGAAAAGATGCTTGTATTGCATTCCAACGTGCACGCCAACCACAAATTAACACCGATATTGGAATCGACAGCAAGAACGCTATATACTCAAGTTTCCACTTTTCGACACGTAATATATATGCTATATTGATTACTATTACGGATAACAAAACCGAAAATAATGAATGTTGTACATCAATGTCACTTCGAAATATTGTCACCATATTGCTTATATGGTTTAATCGCATTATCGAAACTATAAAAAAAAAAGAAGAAATTATATAATTGCTGTAGCACAGTTGATTTAATGCTGATATAGAGAGAGGATCTGCATAACAAAGAAAATATTAGCATCAACAATATCACGATAATTATTAAATAAGATAAAACATTACAATATAAAATCGTAGTACCTTGCAACTAACACTCCGTCTCACTCTCTCCCTTTCTCATTCAATCTTATTTCCTAATCAAAATTACAGTGTAAAATATGTGAAATAAGAAAATTTTTGTTGCGTAAGAAAGAGGAGGAAATGAGATCAAAATGAGTGGAACAGGAATTAATTAAACTCTCAACTCAGCACATTTCACATTTAAGTCATCAACACTAAATATTAGCTCAAGAACGTGAAACGTGCATTTTTCAAAAATGATGAAGAATTTAACGCAGCCATAAAAATTAGATAAGGCATTGAATTAGTTGTAACGAATTGTTTGTTAGGAATGGTTGAGAGGGTTGACATCACCACGTTGACATCACGTTGTCGTCATGTTGCCATTACCATGTTGTCATTTTGACGCTGTAAATGAACATGAACGTATAATGGTTGAAGTGACTTAAGTGAATTCTTCTGCGTTATTTCACTACTTTTCTTTCTTTTCTTTTTTCTGCTCATGCATTCCATACGCAGTACAAAAAGTATTAGTGCATGCGTTTGCAGATGACTGCAACGTGTACGTGATTGTTATCGTTATTGTCTTCTGATGAGAATGTGGTGCACAACACAAATGTTTACGTATGCAGACATACGGATAACTAACTATCGTATCTTACTCATATAACTTAAACTGTATGGATTGTTTAGTATATTGTCACACAGATTACAGATTCTGTTTATAGCAAAGATAATCACAACAGAATGCTTCTATGATAAAACAAATGATTGAGCAATAATTCATTTCGTATACTTAAGTACTCCTTGAATAGATAACTACTGCATCTGTATTATCTAAGACTCTAAGACATTCTTTGTTATTCTGATTAAATGGAAAAGGATGTATTTTTAGAGAACTTTGAAAATAACGATCAGACATGTCTGTCTCCTCCATATATCTAAAACACTAAATTAGGAAAGAGCAAACAAGGCAAAGAAAAAAAGATTTTTATTTACTTATATCAAAAATAATATATTCACCATAATTTTAGTAAATAAACGAGGAATTCGTCGATAGTTTATCATAAATGATATAATTGGAAAAGAGGTATCAAATCAATCTGTACAGAAATATATATTCATTGATCATGATTGCATGGAAGTAACGATGAAAAGATTTGTTTTAATTTTAATCACTTTTGTTAAATGATTTGTGATGTTAGAGCAGAAATGGATGGAAAAATAAATATGAAGAAATGCAGGAATTTAACATTTCAAATCAAATAAATGATTGCTAAATGAAGGAATGACGATTATCAAAGAGATGGAATTATGTACCAAATCAATTAAAGCACATTGGGGAAAGTCTGAAGATGATTAGGATCAGAATAATTTATGAAATGTCTGGTTTAGATTTCTTGTTGAAGCAATTGCAGATGAATTCATATATATCCTGAAAAAAAAAATTTTTTTTCTTTTATTACTAACTCGTATGTTCTGTTTAAGAATCCGAATTGTCCCATAGAAAACATCTAATAGACTGTGCAAATGACGCAGCTATGAACAGCAAGCAGTATTAACCTTAGTAAATACTGGATTCCTTTTTGCTGAAAATTCTGGTTCCGGAAATCAGGTGAGTATATTAAAAAGGTATTGATAATGTTCGTCTATCTTGGATAACAGTATCTCTTTGTATTTGATAGATTATAGTTGTGCTGATCACATATTGGTTGTCACCTCTTTAACACTTGAAAAGGATGAGAAGAAATAGATTATAATAATTGCACCTGATAACAGATAATGGCAGTATTAATGATAATAATAACAAAGATAATGGATGATTTGGTTGAATGAATGACCTGACCTGTCTACAACCAATCAATCAATCAATCAGTCAATCCAATCCATACGACAAATCAGAAATTAGGGGGGGGAGGGGGGAGAGGGGGTTACATCATTGCAAAGATAGAATCCAAGAAATGCTCGTTTAATTTAACCCATTCGTTCGTTGTGTTATGTTCTGCGAAGAATGGCATGCTATAGACGATGATGGAAAAAGTGCCGATTCGTGTGACACGTCATCTATTGCAGTATGGTGACGGATCGTTTACAGAATAAATCATTGATCATTTCTTATCATCGTATACTGTGTGCTCTATTAACCTTTACTTTATTGTGTTGTCGAGTTGGTAATTCGTTTCCTCTTTTCAAATCATTCTTTCAAAAAAAATTTTTTAAAAAGTGGAAATGAATAATAATGATTAATACATTTTTGCTATACATTTTTGTTGCATTTTGATCATTTTTACATTCATATATTGGCTTTTTTTTTTTTTCGAGTAACCATAATAATGTATTTATTTCATCTTTTCTTTATGATAACTCAAAATGGAATGTAAGGATAAGAGTAATCTGTAATTAAAGGTGTAAAATATTAATATAAGCGTAAATAATATAAAAACTGCAAGGACAAATTTAGTCGTCGTTTTTATCATTCTTAACAATCGTTATCAATCTTTTCAATTCTTCTTCATCTCTTCCTCTCTCTCTCTCTCCCTTTCTCTCGAAATATCAATTATTTCATGCAATCGGATTACCATCAATATTTACATTTAATAAGATGGTATCAGACAGTATCAACAATGCTCACTTCCCTCCATCAATTTATTGTCATCAGAGGGACGTAAATATTGTCAAAGTCACCCAAAAACTGCACTGTAATGATGCTCAATAGGCTGCGTTAATTTTAGTCTCCTTCTTTGCCGCGGGAACTGTTTGCCTCGAAGTTTAGTTGGTGGTGTGCTTGCTCGTTTAGTGGTTAGAGGAGGTCAAATGTTAGAGTTTCATTTAGCTGTGCAATGTATGTTGAGCATTTCTGATAGAATAATTCTCCCTTCTTTTTTCATGTCAACAGCTCAATTCTACCAGAACTGATGTTTAGTCTTTTTTTTCTCAGTTCTTGTTGAATTACATTTATTTACAGAATAATAAAAGGATAAACCTTCGGTTCTTTAATGTAT